CATATGGACTGAAGAACAGAAAAAGAGAAATGGTAGGGACGTGAAAAGGGAAGGTGCTTGTTTACAGGACACGCAGGCATTTATATTTAGCAGCTGAATGTTCCATGCTGCTGCTGCGAGGCAATGAGGGAAGTAGAGCGGCTGTCAGACAGGTTAACCACCAACCTTCCTCTACAGTTTCAGTATTGCTGGGCAGCTGCTTCTGGGAAACTATGCTAGGATGCAAAATAGGCAAGAAAACCCTAATCCTTTGTTACCTCATCCCAAAGAACACGAAACTACTGTTGCTGCCTTTTGTATGACTAAGATCTACAAGGTAATATTTATCTCTTCATGTCTCGGAGCTCACTTTGTGCCTTGATAAATGCCTGTTAAACTAATGACTCGACTACTTTTTTTTAACAAAGCAAATAAATGAAGAAAGATACTCTTATTAATTTCACAGCTGGACAGAAAACAATAGAACATCGTTCTTTCAGAATAGAATAACACTTTTAGCTTTATCATTTAACATAAATTCTTTGCCATTAACAGCCAAAAATGCTGGAAATCCAGAGTTGTATATGAGAAGGAAGAGATCTCCTTCTCCTTTCCTAAACTATTGAAAAAATCCCCACATTTGCATCTCCCTCCTCCAAGCTACTCAGTTACATATGATTGAGCCGTTCATTTAATTGATTCACTGGAAGGACAACCAGAACAACAAAACTTTGTAGACATAAAAAACCCATCTTTATATTTCATGTCGCTCTCGGAGACAAACATGCCAGATACACCTCTGGGTTCATGAGAAATGCATTTGTATAGAAGGCCGGTCTGAACTGACTTGCTATTTTCAAAAACCATGCAAATTCAACAATAAAAACCCATGTAATGGTCAGAGGTGGCTTTAGGGAGTTTCTGTACTATATCCATCTGTTCTATATAAATACAATAGCTAAAACACAATAAAATTTCCCCTCTTTTGCATATGCAATTCTTTGTGGGAGTACAGACACATCTAACAGATCTGTAAGATGCTACAGACAGAAATGATGGTACAAATAGTAAAGGGTCAAACTAAGAGGTAAGCTCTTTAGAGCCAAATACCTGTAAAGGTTATACGAATTGTTTCTTACCCTAGTTCCAACACTGCACAGGGTTTCATACACATGCTGTGTTCTACAGACAGCAATGGAGATACTCCACTAAGTTAAGCACAGGCATCTGTCTTTGCAGGATCTTTTGCTCTCCAGCACTAAAGACTCATCACCATCTCCCTCATCCCATTGACCAATATTCCATGTTTCTCATTGAGTCATTTAAATAAAATATTCTAGTTTCATCATCAGAAAATAAGAATGAGCCTGATGACAGCTTCATGTAACCAGCACCCTGACTCTGACAGTAATGAAACCCGCATGGCCAGGGCAGAGCACTGCACAAAGGAAGCTTTCCCCAGAGCATTCCCAAACCCCATCAGTTTGCAAGCCAGGGACCAACTAAGGTTTGGAATTGTGAGCGCAGAGCTATAAAACGAAACAGGGAGAACACAGATTTGGGAAGCTCAGGGACCCTTGCTTGGCTTAGACAACTGCAACTTTGGCTTTCCTGTTTATCATCATGTAAACTAGGTTGCCTTCTTTTGTGTTCATAAGTTAAAAAAAAAAAAAAAGCAACTTGTTTCCTTGATGTGGCAGGATATGTGTATTAATCAGCATTAAAGGAAGTCTGAAGTGATTATTCCCTGTATTCTTAATAATGTGCATCCAGATGCTTTGAAAGATTCATCTCCTAGGATCGTATTCTCAACCTTCCTACCACTGAATTCATGTATGTAAATGACACATTATGTGTCCCAAGAACAGGAAAGAATAATCCAAAGCCTGAATAATGCCTCAAAAAAAGGTAAGAGTTATCTCACTCCAATATAAAGCAAGTCCATCTGTGGTCAACAGAGACTGTTCCGTCAGCTTCACCAGGAGACAAATCAGGCTTTGAAAGAAGATAATACTGTCTATTGGAGAAGTACCAGTGGCGCGGGGAAGAGTCATACTGCTGCCCATGACCGAGGGAATGAGATCCCCATCTGTAAGACCAGAACCTGTTTCATTTTAGGCTCTAGGCTGAGCATTTTCATGATGTATCGAACACAAGCAGAGCTCTGGGATCTGCAAGGGGCTTGTATTAGTTTTCCAGACAAGGTTCAAGTTGCTGGCTTTAAAATATAAAAGCTCTTGACGATTTGGGGCTTAGTCATAAAGCAGAGATTCCCCAGGCAGGTTCCTTGCCATGTCCCCTCAAAGTGGAAAAACATGCAGGGAATTAAGTTGCTGCATGAGAATGGTGACACAAATGCCCACAGGTGCCATCATGTGTTATCATTGCAGGTATACTACAAATATCTTTTGGATTGTTTTTTAAAAGAACATGCGCTGAGAAAGTGAAATGATTAGATGTGTATTTTGAGATACATAGTTAGAAAAAAAGAAGAAAATGAAGAAAAATTGCAAAAAAAGTGTACTAAAGTTTTTTTCCTGGGTTAATAAGATAGAAAAGTAAAGATGTATTAAGATGCATTAATTTTGTTTTGATTTACCATTCTTTCTTCCCACTTCTCTCTTGGTAACAAAGAACCAAGCAAGTGGAGTAATAAGGGAAAAACTTTGAAAAGAAACCCACCACACAATCAACATCATCCCTGCCCCCCCGCCCCCCCCAAAAAAACCCCAATCCCAAACCAGAAATATTACAAAATGAGGAAATTTTCAAGGCAACCATTCTACATCATTATATTTTCAGGGAAGCTTGAGGGGGGAAATAACTGACGTGAAAATAATTCATTTTCATTAACTATATGACAAAAGTTACTCTGCAAGAAACCTAGAATAACAGAATAGTTTGGGTTGGAAGGGACCGTGGAGGTCATCCAGTCCAGCCCCCCTGCAGGGAGCAGGGACA